TTGCACCAGTTCCTCACCAAGCAGCCAGACTTGAACTTCTTCAATGAAGCCGTGATTAAGGAATTCGATGTAAGTCAAATTGAAATGAAACACTGAAAATGGAAACACTTTTCTGTGTCAAATATGGGGCGCCCATCTACGTTTTCCACGTTATTGACCAACGTGAAATCGTGATTTGATTTTCTGATGCATAAATATTTTGAATATTTTTCGTTTTGTTTTTTGGGAGTGTTTTCGCTGTTATTTTATGATTCAGGAGGCGAATCTTTTTTTTACATACATTGTATGTCATTATGCAATCCGGAAACTTGATTAACAATCTTCAGAAATATGGTGGGAATCTCACTGAATGCAATTTTTGAGTATGTCTGCATAGTTGTGGGTTCGATGCCTTTGACAACATAAAATTACAATAAGTCATGCAAAGAGTTCAGAAAATTGTTTTACTCCCTTCAGCACAAAATAACAACTAAACTGTACCTTCGAATGAAGTAAAATGATTATCACACATCAGCCAAGAGTTTCACAGATGTTCATCCACCTCATTAATCCTTAGTAAGCAGATTATGTGACCTCTTGAAACTTCATTTTATGAAATTCAGGTACATTTTTCTTGAAATCTGGAGAGCGATTAGGCGTATAACTACAATGAAACAACTTGACGTATATTATCGGTAGCAAACTTTTTTTTTTTCAAACGGATCAAGTCTCTTTAAACAGAAGCTCTGTTTTACTCATCCTATTGAGGTTTGAAATGTTTTTTCGCTGACTTTGTTTGTTGATCCTATGCAGAGACCCGTTTGTCATCGTTCGAAGAAAACAGGTTGCCAAGATACGTGACGTTATCGCATTTTTCCTGTTTCACAGAGAGTTATGTAATTCTTGGGTTGACAGGACATCATCTTGTTTTGGCTGGACCGCGGCGTCGACGGCTTGCGCTGCGATGCAGTGAAACACATGGCTGAGGTTCAGGATTTGACAATGAATGAGCCTCCTTCGGGGATCGATGGTGTAACTGATCCGACTGATTACGCATTCTTAGATCATATTTACACGACTAATCAAGACAAAACCTACGAGGTTTTGCGTCATTGGCGACAACTTCTTGACGATTACTCTGCTTTCAACGGAGAAACCAAGTGAGGGAATTATGCGTTGAAACCCTGCTGGAATATATTTGCAGAATTTTTAAGAAGAATAAAAAAATTAAGAAAAACATAATTTCACATGCAGACCCAGTCAGGAAAAATCTCAAAATTTCGTATATGTGTGCAGAAAACATTTTCCTGGAAAGTATTATTCACTTCTGGATTGAATTTTTTCTGCATTCCTGCTATAAGATTAGCGTTGAGGAATTTAGAAAAAATTGCTTCACCTTCTCAGATTTTTCCAGGCTTTGGCTACTTAATTGAGGTTGTATTTAGTGACTTTTGGCCGAATTGAAAAGTCCCTGCAGCCCTGCATGCAAAAATATCCGGGCAGCACTGCCACCTGCTGCCATCCAGGGGTTAAAAATTTGTTTGATCATCTTCGATACAAATTTCACCGGAAATAAATTTGCAACAGTATGAGATCGGACGCATAAAGGTATGAAGAGTGATGATATAATGAAGTGATGCAGTTTATTTCACTAATCAACATATTTCAGGAAATATGAGTTTTGCATATGGAAGATGATTGATTAGAATTCCGGAGGGAATACAATTTATCACTCTCTTTTTCGTCTGTTTTTAGCCTCAGATGAATGGGCGAGTAAAAGAAACCTCTCGACTTTTACCACAGATTTTTCAAGTCAAGTCTTGTCTTTTTTCTTGTGTGTATGAGGGATAGATGCTATTTTCATAGAGTTTTAATTTTTGTGGAGTAGATGAAGGAAACAATTTTGAATCATATTTTCGTATGATTTTCTTTTTTCTTCCCACTTTTAAAAGGGTTATGATCACGGAAGTTTATGAAGGAGACGTGGACAAACTGATGGCGTACTNACGTGGACAAACTGATGGCGTACTATGGCACAGAAGACGAACCTATTGCCCACTTCACTTTCAATTTCAAATTCATTGATTATTTGACGGGAGACCTGACTGCTGGTAAAGTGCGGGATGCTATTGCCAATTGGCTCGACAACATGCCGTCCTGGGGATGGGCAAACTGGGTGGTGAGCGTAATATCTTGTTAATTTTACCATGTGGAATTAAAAAAAAAAAACTCAGATATGTGTCATCTCCGAGCATCAACGAACTTGAATTTGATCGTATGGCTCTTTCATCTTTGCATAAATGCAGTAAAACAAAAATTGATTCACCATTTCTCTCGAATTTCTGAGGATGCGGGAATACGCTTGTATTTCGTCCTGAATGGATCATAATTGTAACATCTAATAATTTTTTAAACACTGTTGAAGTCTTATTTTTCAACGGGAAACCGGGTTTCCAACTTTTTTGCAAAGATAACTTCAAAATTTAGCATTCATTTTCAGTTCATTTGTACCCAATCGTGCGCAGGGTGAAATATTCTCGAGTCGTGCAGTTTCGGAATGCAGGATTTTGAGCTATTTATGCATGTACGTTTTCTACAAGCATTAGGAGATTTATTGAAAAAATATATGCTGATTGTGAAGCCATGTTGTACAAATAAACAGATTGGAAACCATGATAATCATCGAGTTGCCAGCCGATTCGGTTCCGAGGTGATCGACGCCATCAACATGCTTGTGCAGCTGTTGCCCGGAACTGCAGTGACTTACTACGGGGAAGAGATCGG